AACAGCAAATCGTTATTCGCTACTTTTAAAAATTGTTAACAACTTGATAGAATAGCATGATATTGAGATACGGTTTGCTTAAAATCGATACTCAATAGTTAATTTGCACTCCTGAGCACTGTAGTGATTACAAAAATGTTGCTTTGTGTTTACTGTTGCTACTCGTAAGTCTATTTGTTATAGGTTACATTACAGTCTGAGTTAGTATAGATGCTCCAAATACAGTAAAACTAAAAAATATAGCGTAGGCGTAGCGAAATAGCGAAATAGTTCGCTACATTTTTTAAGCAGTAGCTATAGTCAGTAGCGAACTACCTTTGTTCAAAAGTAGCAGTAGTTGTAGCGGACTACATATTTTTGAAGTAGCTGTAGTTATAGCGAACTACAAAAATTTTGTAGTCAACCCACCCTTGTATATTCAATATATTGTTCATGAGCGTTCACAAATTTTCGCCAAACATCATCATACTTTGCCTTTCTCGACATAACTTCACTCGTCTCCTCACATGCACACATAATTGTTTCAATGTCACCTTGTATTCTCGTTAAAGTACTAATATGTCCTGCTCGAGATCTAAACAACGCATTTGCTTTCTCCGCGAAATCATCTTCTAGATTTCTCCCGTTATTCAGTACCTTTAGTCTTGAACTTCGTCTCACTAAAGTTTCTCTGCCATCAGCCTCTGATGCAGTTTCTCTTCTAATTTCTTGATTAATTTCTTGTCCATCAAGCGTAAAACAAGATCGTACAGACATTTGTACGTCTTTAATCAAACTGTCCGATTATACAATTCACAAATCAATGTTTCATGAATTCATAAATTCATTTCATGTTCGTAATCTTCACAAATTAAAGTCATCGATCATAAACAGCGATGTCCAAGCAAATATCTGTAACCAATGCACTAGTTCACAAGCTGGTTTCCACCCAAATAAACTATAAGACCAGCTATTCCCGAGAACTTGTTCAAATTCCAAATTTCCAATCGCCAGACGAACGTAAACATTCGTTCATAATACTCGAATTAAAACTGTTTTCTACTGTTACCAAGTCCTACTTGGCAGCGAATTAACACACGAAAATAAGCTACATCAAGAGCTTTTAAAAAATTAATATCTCTTTATTTCAATTTACGTAGGAAACAGTCTGTAAATGCATGCAACACGAAAATATATATCAATTAACAAAAATGGCGGCTGAATTTATGCTTATTGCTAGCAAAGTCACGTGACCGGAAATGTACGGCGGAAATCACATTGCGGATGTGGGAAACGGTAGCTACATTCTTAAACAGAAGAACATGCGACGATATGCGAGAATATCTAGCCCTGTTTTGGTTGCGTGTTGGTTCGAAATCTCTCTGCTTTTTCCCAGTTCTGGGATTGCGATGCTTCCCAGTGACTTCTGCTTTGGTAGAGCGAAAATGAAATTACCTTTGATATTGACATGTATTGCAATATTTTCATACCAGCAGAAAAGGAATTCAATTTTTTACTTTTGCTTCCGTAAACATGAGCCATTGTACAGATATCAGTGAGAAAACTACGTCTACAGTACGAAGTTTCCCAAATCTGATAGACATAGACATAGACAACGCCATTGTAGCAGCAAAGCAGTACAGACCACAGACAAAATGAAAAGACGTCAATCGATTTTTCTGAATGAAATAATTCAAATATATACTTGGATAATTTGTAGTAAATTTAAATTATATACCTTTCCCTCACCAACTGGGCATTGCAGAACTAATGTAGCTACGAACTTTTTCTGATCGTAGAGAAATCATTTAAAATTTTTCCAGAATATTTTTGTGAGTGTTTCTTTTGCGGAAGTCTGTGACTAAATGACTAAAATGAGTTTATCACTTTTTGTGATATTGTTTCGAGGATATCGAAAACAGGCCGCATGGAATTAAGTTTTAAATATTGGTGTGATTATTTAAGTATTCTAGAAAGACTATAAATCAAATGTGCCCGCAACAATTAACAATTGCCATCGTAAAGATTGGACTTCTAGCGAATATAGACTTGTCCGCCAGGGTTGGAAACTCCTTTATTTTGAAAAGTGTATTTACCAATTTTCGCTTGCCCACAAGGATTATGTACTGGCCATCCACTACCTGTGTTTCCATCAAATTAATGTGGAAATAAGCTTAAACACGAAAACGAGCCTGAGGGGATCATGGCCACTCTTGGCCCATCAGCCTCGTTTTGTTTAAGCTTATTTCCACATTTATTGGTCAAAATCCAAAATTATTTTTTTGCATGTGTTGAAGAAAGATGTTCTGCTCCTCTAATCATAGCCCGTGAGAGACAAACTTAAAATCCATTCCATTTAAGGTGGTCCTAAGTTGAAACAGTGTTAGTCATAACGTAATTACCGGAAAGATCTATTATGCAGTTAATTCGCCCCATATTTAAGGCACAGAAATACTGATTTGAACAAAACTAAATGTAAGGAGGTTTGGAGGGTGTACAAAAAGGAAGATGTATTTGTATCGCAACATGGTTAACTAATTGACTGACTAATATTAATCTGCAAGAACGTCTGTCCTGGGTGAACGGATCTGTCTAATATCATCTATAGTAAATAAGGTGGAAACTATTTTCTGCACTTCACTTGGTTGAAAGTGAATATTGGAATAGATGGATAATCCAAGTGACGATATATATATATATATATATATATATATATATACACTTCATACCTAATCAGGATAAAACCGTTCCTGCATGGGTAGGTATAAAAAATGTATATACAGGGTGTATAAAAAAAAACTGAACAGATTTGAAATTGCTCTCAATTTCGCAAAACACCTATTTGTATCCGGTTTTTTATATATATAGCTTCTTTGGGTACTTATAATGTAGAATAATGAAAAAAAATTCTCGAACTCAAATTTTGTGAACCAGGGGGTGTGTGTCTTTTCCAACAAATTAAAAATGGCTCGCGCACAAAATTTAAAAGCTGTAGTCATATTTTGAGTTAATAGATGAAAAATTTGTCCGGTTTTTAATTACTGTACAAAATTTCGGACAATTTGGTTTAGTTTAAGCCCTTTAACTATTCACGCAAAGTTACATTTTTCCTAAAAATCAGCTATTTGCATGCTTAAGCAATGCCTTTGCCTAATTTGCATATGTCAGCAATATGCAAATTAGGTAAAGGTATTAATTAAGCATGCGAAAGGCTGATTTTTTAGAATAAAATGAATAGTTAAAGGACTTAAACTAAACCAAATTGTCTGAAATTTTGCACAGTAATTACAAACCCAACAAATTTTCCATTGCATCCCATTCATTTCCTTTGTTCACATAAAGTTTCTTGTTGTCCTCGCGCGATATGAAATCTGTCCTGGCACCGGTAGAAGTTTCTTAAAACTTTCTTTGTTTTTTACCAAGAGTGTCTGAAAGAGTTTAACACTGACAGTGAATTACTTCTGCATAAAGTTGTTTCGTGATTGTTGGTTATAAACAAGCGCTCTGAACTTCGACATTAATCGCAGAAAGTAGATTTCGCATTAAAGTTTCCAGATATAGTCACTTCCAATATATCATTTTGAAAGATAGAATTATATAACATATTATATTGACTTACACCTTCATTCAAGAATGTCTGAAACTGTTCTGAACATGCACCCTGTATAAAACAACAAATTTCACATTTATTAAAAAATCTTTTGTACATAAATTTCATGATATCTTGGGTAAAGCATTGCCCGGTACCAGAGACCTCTAGCATCTCGGCACATGCATCTCTTTGTATTTAATTTACCGTTTCTTATGCAATGAATGATGCATGCCCTACATTGAAGAGATTGGAAGATGTTTGAGGGAAAGGTTTGGTGAGCTATCATCAACAACGATGCTAAATAACCTGTTGCTTGGCACGTGTAAAGTGACAATCACGATCTTTCGGATATGAAAATTCGAGCCATCCGTCCCATTTCTGGTTGCAATGATACCCGCAAAAGACAAGAAATGTGGCTCGTTTTCCACTTGACTTCTTTTTAATCCATGGTCTCAACGAGAATTTATCTTAATACATACATGCTCTAATCAGTCCATTAAAATTATGTTTCGTAATGTTTCCTCATTCTGAATACTCCATGCAAATTTCATCCAGTCTGATTTTATTGCCTAAATTACAAATTCTCCCCCCCCCCCCAATCCTCAACACATTACCTTATGAGCAGTACCGGTCTTTCTATCAATGTAATACGTTTCAAATTTCCCTGCGATGTCTTAATCTTAAACTCCATACATCTTTTCCACAGTCGTTCAGGCATGCGTGTTGTGATCCAATACCAGACGTAAACCTCACCAGTGACGATGGTACCACCATTAACAGCTTTACATTTTCTACTGCAATAATGATCTCTTCCACCTTTGGGACCAAAACATGCACAACACTAAAGATAAATGTAGGACAAGAATTAATAAGATTCATCGTAAGTAACTTGGAAATTAGTAATACCAAATCCTCAGGTTGAGTAACAAACTATCAAACCTTGCCAGCATCGCAGCCAACAAAAGCTGTAGCATCGTGTGTGATACCTGAAAACTGTGAACTTGCACTATAACTGAAAATATAAATATATGATGTAAGTTACGTCCCTTCTTTGATCAACTTAATGACATCTACCGAGACTCTATAGGGGACGTTCACACTAGCGATTTAGATCGATCCGAAATCAATTCAGAGCTGTATCGAGCCAAGTGTGGACAACCAAAAACGAGCTGAGACCGATTCGAGATTGATCTAAACTAAACTACCCCTGGGTTCACGCTTTACAACCGATCCACGTTCTTGCTTAGCAACCTAGCATTTTTAATTCAATCAATTTAATTAAATTATTCAAGTTTTTGTTAAAGTGTGGGTACTCCATTTGAAATCCCAAGAACCGGCCTCGGATCGCTTTGATATCGCTCTAATTTAGATCGATCTCAATGCGTGTTTAGTGTGAACGGCCCCTAAAAGTCTTTTCGTTTACCTAAAAGATCCGTTTGGATATTTGTTTCTGAGACAGCAATTCATTCTTCCCTGTAAAAGCAACAATAATACACTTGTCTAGTACATAGCTTGTTGTACAGTAAAAACTTGGACAATTTTAACATGGCAGTTTTAGTCTAGATATCCCTGGGGCCTGGCCTGGGAAAGATTGGGTTTTGTTGACCTAGCCTGCGCGCTGTCTCATCATAGATAGATAGATAGATACTTTATTGCGTGTTCCCCTAAGGGCTTTTCAACACTACATTACATATTAAAATTACTATAAACTACTTCTAAAACTACCTATGTTACATATACTTATTTAAAATTAGTTAAAATATGTACAAAGAGTATGAAATATTAAATGTATTTAATAAGATTCTTTTAGTAAAATCTCTCTAAGTTCTTTCTTAAAAATTGTTATTGATGTAAAATTTTTTAGTTTATCATCTAAGTCATTCCATATTTTAACATCCCGGTAATTAAATGTTCTTTGACCTGCAGCAGTTTTATACAGAGGGATGTCCAAGAGGTCATGATTTCTTGTCGATCGATCATGTATATCGGAACGCTTTATAAATTTATCAACTAGGTAGTCAGGTGCAAGTCCATTAAAACACTTGTAAGCCATTACAGTTTCCATTTCCAATAATAACTTTTCCACTGGCAACCAATTTAGTTCGCGCAACGTCGGAGTTATGTGATCGAACTTTCCTACCCCTGATATAACTCTGCACGCGAAGTTCTGCACTGATTGAAGTTTATTGATATTGTTAGATGACGTGTTGGACCACACCGTAGAGCAGTACAGAAGCTTGCTAATTACAAGTGTCTCAATGACCAATTTTAGTGTTTCATTATCGAAACTATCCTTCACGCGATTTATTTGGCATAGTTTTCTCATACACGACGAAACGAGTTTAGATATGTGGTCATCGTAGGATAGGTACGAATCCAAATTGATTCCCAAATCCTTAGCTAGAAAAACAGGTCTTATAGTCTTTCCTAAAAATGTTAGCGACATTTCTGTAGGCACGTTCTGTAGCATATGGGTCTTGAACCGACTACAAGGAATTTAGTTTTTTCTGGATTGATTAGTAATTGGTGCTCCAAACACCACTTGGCTACTATTTGTAGGTCTGCCTCTAAATTGATAGTTGTCTGTTCCAAGTCGTAGATGCAGAATGATTTGTAAAGCTTTGAGTCGTCTACATATGAATCAAGGTTACACGATTGTATGCTCCCTGGCAGATCGTTAATATAGATGCAAAACAGAAGTGGTGATAGTATTGCACCTTGTGGAACGCCATGGGTTATCGGGCGAGCTGATGACTTGGTGGATCCAATGCGCACGTATTGGGATCTGCCTATCAAATACTCTTGGAACCATTTAACAGCTTCGGGTGAAGCACCAATACAACTCAATTTGTGTAATAAAATCGAATGACTGACACTGTCAAATGCCTTGGATAAATCCAATAAAATTAGTGCCGTTAGCTTTTTGTTGTCTATGGCTTCCAACATGGTATCGGTAACAAATATGTTTAAGGTTTCTGTAGAGTGAAGACTCCTATTCCCGCTTTGATGTGACGATATGCGATTAAATTCTTTGAGGTAGGAGCTAAATTGATTTAGAACAACTTTTTCACAAACTTGTGAAACTACCTCAAGTAATGAGAGAGGCCGATTGTTTGAGGCTATCTCGTGGTCTTCTTCTTTTAGTAGGGGTATAACTTCAGAAATCGTCGATAGGTCAGGGAATGTGCTTGTCATTAGAGAGCAATTTATCATATGCGTAAGAGGACCCAGTATGATTGGAAGACAGTCTTTGATAACACGCATGCCATGGTCCTGGTGACTTATTACTTAGCATAGCCATGATAATACGTTGAACCTCTGTACAAGTAACGGATTGGAAATTGAACAGTTGATCAGATGGATAAGTGATTACATTTGACAGAGGATTTGACAGTACAACATTGTTGTCTTTGGCTAAACTTTCGACTGTCGCAGCAGCGTTCCGTCTCACAGAAGTAAAAAAAAGGTTGAAATCTTCTGCAACTGTTTTTGGATCTTTACTATATAAGCTTGCGTTTCCTTTTCCTTCGAGGGAATTAAATTATTAATTATTTTATGGTCCTTCGCTGCGGCTTTAATTTTGGTTTTTACGTTATTACGATATTCTTTGTAAACTACCCAATCACCTTCATCGCGTGTCAGTTGAAACCGACGGAGGTGTAGGTCCCGAGACTTCATGAGTTATTTGATTTCATTGGTGACATATGGACATGATCGATTTCGAATTTTGAAGGTTTTTAACGGTGCATGCACGTCGAGAGTTGAGTGAAGAACATCTTTGAAGGTTTCGAGTATCGTATTAACGTTGGTGTTGGATAATATGGATAACAGACGATCCGATTTAGTGACAAGGTCAGAGGAAAATAGTGAGGGATTATAGTTTTTATAACTCCTAGTTGTAATATAACATGCTGGCATCTTTGGGGCCTTTAACTTTAGTAGGACGTACACTGGTAAGTGGTCACTGATAGAAGTGTTAATAACACCACTCTCAAGAACAAGTGCTGTGGATGAGACTAGAATAACATCAATAAGCGTTTGGGACGTCGCCGTGATTCTAGTTGGAGTTTTAATAATCTGTGTGAGATTTAATTCTGTAGAAAGATTTGTTAGCGCTCTCCGTTCTTGGCCGTTTTCTAGCATGTTGCAGTTTAAGTCACCGAGCACCAAAATCTGTTTATTCAAAGTTAAAGCCTGAACATAATTTGGCTTAAGTAAATCTTCGAAACAATTTAGAGAAGTGTCAGGTGGTCGGTAGGTTACACAAATTATTATTGATTTGTTTTTTTGGCATTGTAGATTTATCCATAGTTGATGGAAGTTAGAGACTGACACCTTCGATAAATCTTTTAAGACAGTTGCTTTAATATTCTTCTTGATATAAGCACAGACACCTCCACCTTTCTTGTGTAACCGGTCAAGTCTGTGGATCTTATAATCGTCGATTGCAATCTCACGGTTCGTTACTGAGGAATTTAACCACGATTCGGAAATTGTGAGCACATCGATATTATTTAACTTCACTAATTCCTTGACCTCAGTAAGGTGAACGATATTTCTTAACGAGCAAATGTTTAAGTGAACAATGTTGAGACTAGAGGGAACTGATATCTGATCGTTCGGGGTTAATGGGGTACTACACGTATTTCTGCTAGTGTGGTTCTCACTAGCCTGTAGTGGGATTAAATTATTATACGCATGGACTGTTTTTCTGTTTCTCAAATTTTCGCGGCGAGTAATTCTAACGGGAATTTCCATACGCAAAGCTAGGTGGTTTATCCAGTCCATGTCTGGCCCACGGTCTAATACGGGTGGAGTTTCTTCTGAGGACGTTTCCGAAAAGGGGTTCGGTGTGACCGACTACGAGTTAAATTATTGTCCGTATGGTTAAGGATAAGAGGTTCAGGACCATTGATCAAAGGCAGCCTGGATAACCAGACAGGCCGTTTAGATTGTGCGATAGGCTCGCGTGTCTGCTTCGTTGGTTTATGTAATGCTATACATGTTGGTTCTGAAACTGGTGCAGTCACACTGACTGGCTTAAACGATTGCTTCTGAAAGAAATTTGGCTTTGATTTCGAACGGCCTTTGATTGATTTTGGTAAAGTTGGCACAACCGCGAACGATTGCTTTCGAACTGTCTTAGGTTTCGACTCAGAATTTAAAATTGTATCAACAATAAGACATGAATTTTCAAGAGAAGCTTCAACACATTTAAATTCCGGTGTAATTGATGATTTGTCATAATTTGCATTCAAAATGAACTCATCCGCCTCATAGAGATGTCATGACTCATCATCTCATGACCCATCAATGACCCATCAATGACCCATGACCCATTCAATGACCCATGACCCACTCATCATCTCATGACCCGTCAATGACCCATCAATGACCCATGACCCATCAATGAGATGTCATGACTCATCATCTCATGAGTCATGACATCTCATTGACCGATGTCATGAAACTGCGCGCAGGCATTGCTAACCAGGATTTGTCAGCAATTATTATTCATATTAGGCACTTGATAATAATTCCTAATTTCCGGAAGAAAAAAGAGGACTGTGGGATTTCAAGAGTATGCAGTTTCTTTGTGAGATTTGTAATACTATATATGTTATATGTGTTAATCAATCACATTGCACTATATATGTCTATAGTTTTATGCGTACGTTCTAAAAATGTACTGGTTAAATATAACCAGTTTGGGGGTTAAATTCCAACCAGTTCTCAAAATATATATACAGCTAACATAGTCTGATTAATTTAACAAGGACGTCGCGGCTACATCAACCCAAATTTCTGGTTGCACCTGTTCAAAGATTAATAAAATGGCAATTTTAACTAGAGTGCCTTTTACGCAATGTACTATTATCAGTAGATACCCATCCCAGGTTGACATCCTGATGAAGTCCAAATTTTTAGCAGCTGTACTCTGTTGTGACCACTGTCTCAGTGAGGATATCTTTAACATAAGAAATGTTTCAAATCCCTGAATGAATGTCTGTACATCCACCACGTCCAACACCAAACAGATCACCAAGAGCACGGTTTGTTTTTAACCTGTAAGACATTTACACAAAAGAATTATGAATGCTATTAACCTGTAAGACATTCACACAAAAAGAATTATAAATGCTACAGTATATATTATGGAATGGATTGGTTTAGTATGGTGCAGAACGGTATGGTATTAGAATGGTATGATAAGGCAAGTATGATTACTTATAAGTACGATATATATGGCATTGTATGGCATATATTACCACCTCAATTTGGAATGACCTAACAAGGTCAGGGCGTGATAAGTAATATAGTTTGGTATAATATGGTGCTTATGGCACGGTATTGGTGTAATGGTCTCCAACAAACATTTACTTCATCTTTAAACAATATTTACAACTTACCAATGTGCCTCTTTGCCTTCAAAATCCTTTGAGGTCGAGATTTGAATTGCAATATCCTGCACGTTGACGTCACCAAACTTGCTGGACCAATGAGGAGGTCCCAATGGATCTACTGGTTTCTCATTGGATGGTACGTTCCGTGTGACTGGACTGTTGTTCATGTTTAGTGTGAACCGCAGGCAGCCGTTGAAACCCTGGGAACGAGGTTCCCAATCGATATAAATGCTGAGTGATGTGCTTAATTAAATTACTGAATAGACTGAAAAAAACCTGAAATTTATTTCTCGATTACCAATACAAAGTTAATAATACTACTGCTAAATGTTTTCTATTTCTAGGTTGTGTAGTTTCCCGATATTATGGATAATACCGGTAAACGCTTTCCATGGTCATGGAGTATTATTAATTAATGTCATTTTAGGATTAGGGATTATATAAAGATGCTATATGTGACTATATCTATATGTCCTGATTACTTGTGCATGTTATATCAAGTGTTAAATAAAACAAAATACTGAATGTGAAAGTTTGAATTCTAGCGAAGATAGATTTGTCCGCCAGGGTTGCTGACTCCGTTCTTGTGATTAGAACCACTATTTTTGCCACAAGGATCATGTGTTGGGTAGTGATAGCGTGTGAATCCATTAAAGTAATAATAATACGAGGAAGCATGGAGGGTTGGTCCAACATTGTGCCAAAAAACTCTATACGGTACCACACCACTACAAGCTGTTGCCACGTTCTTTATATTCTGACAACGCATTAATCCGTTTTTCTTTGTGACCAGACTTCCACCATTTGGTTGACAAACAATCCAATGATTGATGTTTGACTTGACCATGAACTCTTTTCCAATGTTCTTCCAAAGATTCCAGTCTACAGCCCCAAGAGATGACTCACTGAGTGGAGGAGTGGTTGAGATTGGGACATTGGCCGTCCTGGCAGGCCAGTTAGGACGGGGAGTTACGGCATTGCTTCCTGAACCAAAACTGTTGTAATTTGTAAAGGTGTAGCTGTAAACAAAGGTCCAGCCTCCTCCGTGAGTTTCCATGTCACAGTAAACCTGAAATAACTTACTGGCTGCAGGCTGTATCGAGTAAATACCTGAAATTGCGAATTTATTTGCTGCTAGGATATCTTTGCAAGATTTTTTCGTGATTTCTGAAATAAAATAGATTAATTAAGTGATTGAAATATAACACACAACTCGCAAGTTATGATAGTTAAAAACCATATCGCATGCAGTGTATAATGAAAAGAGATTGGTTCAATTCAAGCGATTTATTTGCTGCTAGGATATCGTTACAAGTTTTTCCTGGGTTTAATTTTGAACCATAAACTGACTTGGCTGAAATAAAATAAAATAAAATAAGGTAAATTTATACCATGTCCATGCATATATAAGATTGAGTATACGAGAAATGATAGTTCATGCTTCAAAACCTGAATGTTTTCAAGCCATTCAAATTAGCGAGGATTTCTAGCCATCAGGAGCGGCGCTACAGGGGGTGTGGGGGTGGAGGGGGGGTGGAACCCCCCCCCCACTCGTCAGCTAATCGGCAAATTGTTATCTCAGTCGGCAAAACTGGATTGGCTAAAGATAACCACTGAAGAAACCAAAATTGACCTCCTGAATAATTGAATTCAAACCGAATATCACGAATAGCATGCATCAAAGCGTGATCAAAGAAACCACACATGCAGCAATGCAAATTTTTTCGAATACAGTATCTTCACTTCTGGCAGCTAGTCCAAAAACATAATATTATTGAAATCATAATTAGGTTGTTGTTGTTGTTGTTGTTGTTGTTGTTGTTGTTGTTGTTGTTGTTGTTGTTGTTGTCGTTGTTTTTGTGGTCGTCGTCGTCGTCGTCGTCGTCGTCGTCGTCGTCGTCGTCGTCGTCGTCGTCGTCGTTGTTGTTGCTTATTATACTGTTCTATAAAAGTGACAATAAAGTCGGTTTTCCACTAGCGAATTTTCTCGCACGAAGCGACCTTTTTCCTTTGTCGGTATCACTTAGTACGTCAGCAACACGTGGCAAAATCAGTCCTCGAAAACGAGGTCGGCATTCGGCAATGCCGGGCTAAATGCAAATTTCTGCCCACCTTAATTCAACCAAAATAAGAATTTTTTATGCTGATAGCTTTTAAAGTGTCAGCGAATTCGATTAACTGAACACACTACGGTGTAAGGTTTAAAAACTGACGGGTATTGTGTATATACGTTCGATGTTTGAAGATCAAATTTCGCGCGTCTGGAGTTAAAATTTGGCTCCAACTTTCGAATTTTCCGGCTGGAGGTAACGTTCCAGTTATATTCCGATTTCAATGATTTGTAAATGCGTGATTAATAGTGCTCCAAGACGTGGAACAGATTTTAAGAAATGCCGAGATGTGCCGACCTAGGTCAGATTTAGGTCGGTCCTCTTTTGCCGACCTCAATTTTGACGGTTTTGACTTTTCGAGGGCTGCAAAATGGATGCCGACAAAGGAAAAAGGTCACTTCGCGCAGAAAAATTCGCTAGTGGAAAACCGACGTAATAGAGGGTAATAAAGCGCATTTAAACATGCACATTTACTATAGATGGCCCTGAAGGGGTAAAATGGGAACTGGGATTGATCTATTTTTAGACTTGGAAAATGGGATTGGGTTGCTGGGACTGGGATTTGGCCACTGGGAATGGGAAATGAAGTCCTCAAAAATGGGAACGGTATTGAAGTAATGCGAGTCGATTCCCACTTTTGATCCGTTTTTGGTGTCTTTAGTCATGGCGCCCGGAATTTTGGGTTTTCTGATTATGCGTGTCTCAGAATGATGCAAATGCCATTTCCGGGATTCAAATTTAAAAATTTAAATATTTCATAAAGTGTCCGCCACTTGCACACACGGTGGCTTAAAAGGTCTTAAAACTGTTTATTCTACCGATAAATAAAGGGTTTTTTTATTGACTGGGATTTCAATAACTCGGACTGGGATTTCTAATAAAAATCCAACTGGGACTGGGATTTTGCCAAAATTTCAGGTGGAAAATGGGATTGGGACCCTCCCCCCCCCTTCAGGACCCTCACTATAGGCTAATGACTCGGCAAAATTACCAAACAACAGTCGGCAAAAGATCACTCACAACCCCCCACTCGAAGAGGGTTAGCGCCGCCCCTGCCAGCCATAATAGACCTTATGCATAATGACGTCACAAGACTTGATGCCCGCGAGGAATGCTGGTGTTAGTAGTCATCGCGCGGGAAAATTTCGATAGTGGCCATTTTGAATTGTTTAATTTTCCCGGGCGATGACTAGTAACACCAGCATTCCTCGCGGACATCAAGCCTTGTGATGTCATTATGCATAAGGTCTATTATTTTATAGTTTGACAACTCTTCCATGTTTTGTGTTTCTTTTAGCAGCATGTCATTGGATCTGAGAGATAAAACTGTCGCAAGCAAGTTTATTTATAATGGCTGTAGTGATATAATTTTAAAATAATCTCGAATTGACGGTCGGTGCCACTTTGTATAGCTAGCGACGATAACAGACAACTATGGATTGAGAGAGACACAATTTCCTGAAAAATATGAGCAGAACTTCGACGTTTCGAGCGAAGACCTTTGCTTATATTTTTCAGGTAGTTGTATCCTTCTCAATCCACAGCCGTGTCCATAATGGTTAGCGGTTTGGAAGAATTAATTCACAATGGGAAACATCTCGTGTATTACAGCAGTATGATGCACTTCAACTTACCATTTAATCTTCCTTCAATCTTTTCTAACTTGTCTCAAGGCTTTGCAATTTTGCAGTCATATTTTTCCCCAAGTTTTGTGTCTTAGAAATAATTTGACTATCAGTATGTCAAAAATTAAAGTTACGTAATACTGTGGAGGTTAAGTTTTGCAGGAAAGAAATGTAGTTAATTAATTCACTTCACATTTCAGACACAAAAATACTGATTTCAACAAAAGTTAATTAATGTAAGGAGGTTAGGAGGGTAATAATAATATCATCTATAATAAATAAGTTAAATATAACTTGAAAAACATTTTCTGCACTTCACTTGGTTGAAAGTAAATATTGGAGCAGATGGATAATTCAAGTGACGATATAAATACACTTCACACCTAATTAGGATAAAACCGTTCCTGGTTAGGTATAAAAATATATTGTCACTTAGACATCAACTCCAATATAACAAATTACGTCTGTAGGCCGGCTCCCCCCCCCCCCTCCATTTTTTTGAATTGATTTTCGCCTGTTAACATCCGTCAAGACTTACTTCTTTTTCACTTCCGATGGCATCCCATTCATTTCCTTTGTTCACATAAAGTTTCTTGTTGTCCTCGCGATATGAAATCTGTCCTGGCACCGGTAGAAGATTGTTGAAACTTTCTTTGTTTTTTACCAAAAGTGTCTGAAAGTGTTTAAAATTGGCAGTGAATTACTTTTGCGTGAACTTGTTTCGTGATTGTTGGTTATAAACAAGTGCCCTGGACTTTAAGATTAAAGATAAATTGAAGTAAGTGGATTCTGCATTAGACTTTCGGATGTTTAGGCGACTTATAATACTGGTTTTGAAAGATAAAACAAAATATAAATATATTTATAAACAAAATATAATAAATTTTCCTTAACTCGCCTTATCTTGCCTTAACTCGCGAGGGTCAGTAGCCAGATTTCTCCTTAACTTGCCCTATCTCGCCTCTACACGCATAGGCTCGCCTTATCTCGCGGCGGGTTAAGGTCCCAGAGTAGGCCTATACTTACACCTTCATTCAAGAATGTCTGAAATTGTTGTGAGCACGTACCCTGTATAAAAGAACAATTTTACATTCATTTTAAATCTCATTTAACATTTGTCATCCACTAAATGCAGTTTACTCTACATTGAAGAAACTAGGAGATGTTTTGAGGGAAAGATTTAGCGAGCATCGTCATGCTGTCATCAAAACTATTCCCAGCCGCCACTTTAATAACAGTGACAATCACGATCTTTTGGAAAACCGCAAAAGATATGAAATGCTTCTCATTTCTCAACTTGGCATCCGTCAAACCAAGTGTTTCTCATACATACTCCGATTAATATAACACTGATGAAATTCCGGGCCAGATTGAGAGCTTTGCAATAATAAATATACGCGGCGTTTCCATGCACAAACCAAAACTTACCTTATGAGCAGGACCGGTCTTTCTATCAATATAATAAGTTTCTACTTTCCCAGTCTCTGTCTTCATCTTAAACTCCATACATCTTTTCCACAGTCGTTCAGGCATGCGTGTTCTGATCCAATACCAGACGTAAACCTGACCATTGAGGATGATACCACCATTAACAGCTTTACATTCTCTGCTGCAATAATGACCTCTTCCACCTTTGGGACCAAAACATGCACAACACTAAAGATAAATGTTGTGGAAGAATTAGAAATTTAGTGTAAATAAGTTCGAAAATTGCAATGTAAAAAAGACGAATTACAACAAATTAGATCTTTAAATAACTGTTAAAATTATTTAACATATTTGACTATGACTAACTAAATTAGCCTAATATGGACACAAGAAATCTCGGAAATGACTAGAAAATGAGATTACTGATACTGCGCATCAATAGCGTAATAAACCTTCAGAGAACATATCCTTCCGGAAAGTACCTCACCTTGGTTATAGAGCCTCATTTTCGCGTTCATGACATTAGGCGGTTAAAGGCCCAACATCTCAATCACTAAAACAAGGCTGTATAACCAAGGTGACGTATTTTCCGGAAGGGTGTGTTGCTGAAGAATAAAGTTTGAACTCTGTTGCAACTGGATGGATTTCTGTGAAGTAGAAGAACACTACAAACAACATCAAATACACTGATCTCAAAAGTATAGGGTTAAGTAGTGAATCTGCTAATGAATAAACGATATCAGAATAACTCGCACCAATGTACTGTGGTGTAGTTTACATGTTAGAAAAGATAGCAGAACAATCTCACAGACCCCATAACAAACAAACCCGAGTAATAAATCAAGTTAACAAACCTTGCCAGCATCGCAATCAACAAAAGCTGTGGCACCGTGTGTGATACCTGAAAACTCTGAACTTGCACTATAACTGAAAATGTAATATATTATGTAAGTCAAGACTTTTTTTTTATCAAAGTGGTAACTTGTTCTAGTACATTATAAAAAGAAAACTGGTGCTTTAAAACTTTTGATCAATTTTTTTGGCTAAAGGTTTTACAAGTTTTTTACTACCGCACACTTTCGAATAATTTTTGGCAGCTTGAACTTGACTTTCATGTAATTTCATGTAATACCTATATCATCAATATCTCAATTATGAAGTTTTGGTTATATAATTAACTGAATGGAATAAGGACAGTTGGAAAATGGAAAATTAAAGCAAGAAAACACTAGATTAGAGCAGGGTTAGCTAGAGTTGGTTAGGATATGCGAAAAACCGAGCTTCGTATTTACCTAAAAGATCCATGACTGTCAAGTTTGAAAGGAAATCCTTCTATAAATGCATCATAACCTTTTGAACATTTGTTTCTGAGACAGAAATTCATTCTTCCCTGTAAAATAATAAAAACAGTAATTCATTTTCTCCTGAACAATAAAGTAATACATAGTATTTTGTACAGTAGTTCAAATATTTTCTTTTTCTTTTATTACCGCTTTTTAATTTCCAAAACAGAAATGAGGAGTGCGTGGGATTTCAAGTCAAAGTAGTTGGTTTCAGTCTGAAATTTCTAATGCGATTAACTCGTATCGAACTGGGATTAAGCACACATTCTGCAGTTAAAACACTCAGATTAATTATAACCATGGTATCCAGGATGTGCATGTACATAGTATAGTTTGGTTAACTCAACCAGGATGTCCAGGTTAAATCAACCCAAATTTTTGGTTAACCTGTTGAAAGATGGATAAAGCAGAAATTTTAACTACAGTGCTTTTTATACAGTGTAATATTACAGTTACCCATCCAAGGTCCGTATGAGGTCCAAATTGTGAACAGTTGAATTTTGTAGTAACCACTGTCTCAGTAAGGATATCTTTAACATAAGACACATTTCCAATCCCTGAATGAAAGTCTGTACAGCCACCACTTCCCACACCAAACAGATTGCCGAGAGCACGCTTTATTTTTAATCTGTAAGACCTTTAGCACAAATTATTAGAACCAATAAGTGTGCAATGTACTACCACGACTTATATATGCTTTGGTATAGGTTGATATTGGATATGTAAGTTATGGTATGATGTACTATGATATGATATGATATGATATGGTATGGTATGGTATGGTATGGTATGGCATGGTATGGTATGGTATGGTAAGAAAAAGATTAATACTGCAGTTAAAACACTCAGATTAATTATAACCATGGTATCCAGGATGTGCATGTACATAGTATAGTTTGGTTAACTCAACCAGGATGTCCAGGTTAAATCAACCCAAATTTTTGGTTAACCTGTTGAAAGATGGATAAAGCAGAAATTTTAACTACAGTGCTTTTTATACAGTGTAATATTACAGTTACCCATCCAAGGTCCGTATGAGGTCCAAATTGTGAACAGTTGAATTTTGTAGTAACCACTGTCTCAGTAAGGATATCTTTAACATAAGACACATTTCCAATCCCTGAATGAAAGTCTGTACAGCCACCACTTCCCACACCAAACAGATTGCCGAGAGCACGCTTTATTTTTAATCTGTAAGACCTTTAGCACAAATTATTAGAACCAATAAGTGTGCAATGTACTACCACGACTTATATATGCTTTGGTATAGGTTGATATTGGATATGTAAGTTATGGTATGATGTACTATGATATGATATGATATGATATGGTATGGTATGGTATGGTATGGTATGGCATGGTATGGTATGGTATGGTAAGAAAAAGATTAATAAGATCGCTATTTATTTTTAATCTGTTTTTAATCAGTAATGGTCTTTACCCAAATGATTAAAATCTATTTTGAATGCTATGGTATTTTATGGAATGGAACGGAATTGATTGGTATTGTATGGTATGGTATGGTATGGTATGGTGTGGTATGGTATGGTTTGGTAATTGGTATTGTATGGCATGGTATAGTATGGTATGGCATGGTTTAATAACATGGAATGACATGGCATGGCATGGCATGGTATGGTATTTACTTCTATTGGTTACCCGTAACCCTTTACTTGATCTTTCACAATATTGAATCAATAGAGTAATAGACTATTTTATTCTACCTCACTCACCAATGAGCCTTTGTGTCTTCAAAATTCTTCGTGGTTGAGATTTGAATTGCAACATCCTCTATGTTGACGTCGCCAAACTTGCTGGACCAATGAGGAGGTCCCATTGGATCTACTGGTTTCTCATTGGATGGTAAGTTCCATGTGACTGGACTGTTCTTCATTCCGATCAGCAAAAATCCCCCGCGGTCTGTGTGTGTGTCACACCACCCCTAGAGATCCATATAGGTCAATTTCAGTTATATCCTCATGTTTCGTGCGCCGTAGGATTCGGGATGGGCCTGGATTGAGGTCAAGATCAAAGAGATATATTTTCGTTCTCGAAACATGAGGATATCATCTCAATTTCCACATTAACGACTTCAATTTAAATACAATCCAAACAGTAGTCCTCGTGATGTCATTTCGGGATCGTAATAGGGAAAGTCACCCGTTGTATTATTTATAGTTGAAAAAGTGCTGTACCTTTGAAAGTTTTCCCTTGTTGTATTTTATCCAATAAAAACCATCTTTTGCTTCGGGAAGATTGTCTATTATATCAGAGCAATCTTTTGCGGGATTGAATTTTTCACCAAGTGTAGAGGAACCTGTGGAAGGATATTGACAGAAATTGTTAGTGTCGGCCTGCATGATGCTTGCTTTTTATTGAAAGCTGAAACTGATATACTATAGAGAAAGCAGCATATAAAGATTTCGTCCTGATTTGCATATTATAAATTTTAGGTTCGAATTTCTTAGCTGAAATAAATCATATTACCAGTTGAAATTGTTGATAAAGTGGTGCTTGTATAAGGCATGCACATGGAATTTGGCTACCTAGTTTAAAACAACAACGAAGTTTTCAAGTTGCTCATGTACTTAAACAACAATTTACGTTTGAGTTTTGTTTTGTAAAACAGAATATGTAAACAGGATTGGCATTCCCCCTAAAGATTCTAGTTAAATTAATCCTACCATCCAGAAATTTCCACACATATTGTCCCTTATTTTTGATGCAAATCACAACTCCGTCATTTCCTGACACCTTGCGATACAAGGTTTGCTTCCCTTCTTTCGATTTAGAACAAACAGGCAACTGACGAAAGAAGAGTAAAGAACAAATAAGGTGTAGCTAGTTCAAAAGTCATGTAGTGTACCGAACCGAATGCAAATAACCATAGCTCGTTGTTTGAGCTCACTCGCTAAAATAAGATCTATTAGTTAAAACACGCTTGGTCCCTATTAAGGAGAGGGGTTAGTGTTGGTGAATTTACTGTAAACTATGTTTGGGCCAAACATTTAATTTAGTAAACACTATATATATGCACGTATTCTTTCCCTAATAGCCTATGTAAAATATAGTGTATATTTAAATGTGTTACCTCAGCATATGAACCATTGCACAGCCATCAACAAGAAAACAGTGTAAACGCTCCCAGATCTCAAAGACAACGTCATTTTTAACTTTTTCGCCGATCATAAGTGTTTACTCTTACAAGGCCAATAACTAAATGAAGCAACCCACCCAAACTTCTTGCAATATCATTGTCAAAAACACAAAAGATAAACACGAAAATTCGTGTTTCAGTTAGCCAGCCGACACTAAATTTATGTATTGTTAAAACTGAACAGAAAGCGATAAATATGTGGGGGAATGTCGATTCTCTCTAAAAAATAACTTTAATGAAAACTTGGACACAGTTTTTAAATATATAAGTTATGTTATCTATGTTGCTAAAATGGTCCGTATATATATATATGTACACAAGCCACAGGTAACTGAATTTCGTAGTCAAACGTTTGACGTCTCTACTTCATAACAGTTTTGTTCCCGTTATTGTTAATACTGTTTTAAATGAATCACATGAAGAATAAACTTGAACCCCTACAGAGTGCTTCAACAAGTAACTATGTAAATACCAGCTGTCTATACTGTATATAGGACGATTTTTAAATAATTATTGAATAAGGAAGTGTATATATCATAATATTGAATTATATATACAGTACTAAAGTTCAAAATCGACAGAATCATTGCTATACCATAGCCATAGGCAGCCCAGACATTGTATTGTTATCATTAAAATAAATGGTGGTTAATATATCTTGAACAATTAATAAAAATGCTTAATTAAAGTGCTTCTGATTTTGAAATACAGCAATTGACTCGTGGATTCATTACATAATAACGAGCTTAAAAGATGCACCAAATCTGCGACGCGGACCCGACTAAAAAACAGTCGCTAATAATTGGAGACTATAGTTTTACTTTGTTTTTCTCGTGTCCCTGGCTCTGTTTACCACCAGACATCCATAGTTTTTACCCGTGAGGCGAAACTGTGATAATAGCGGCAGTTTTTCGTCACATCCGGCCGTGTCGTAGATTTGATGTATATCTTAAGCTCCCTATTGATGACGTAACCATGCAACTGTGTCATCTGTACAACGTTTTATAATTGTTGAACTGATATATCTCGAGGCTATAGTAATTTGCTAGACTGTCTATGGCTGAATTTATGCCTCATTTATATTAGACAACGATGAGCCATCTGCAGTTCTGGACGAACTTTGTGTATAAACGCATGCAGCACACTTTATTCTAACGAATTGCCATCAAGACAGACTATCTGTGACTGTGTAGTTCGTTTACTCAGACGAACGTGGTGTATGTAGTTCCTATTTGTAGAAAATCAGCCTTCTGCACAAGTACGGTATGATACGAATTACCACCCAGGAAAATATCAGATATGGTTTGCTCCCAAAATCATCGGCATAGAGCGGATCGCATTTATTATTCTAGCCAGCAATGTTGGTCATAACTGCTTGATACTGCCTTTCCCCCTTATGCTGGATTCCCTGTAAAGTCATGTTGGACTTATAAGCCCCCACTCCCCTAACTCAATGTCGAGTTTGTCGATATCTAAGATATCTTTACAAGATTTTCCCGGGATTGACTTGGCTGAAATAAAATAAAATAATTAAATGATTACATATAACTCACGAGTTATTATAGTTGGAAACTATATCGCATGCAGTGTGTACTGAAAAGATATTGGCTCAAGCGAATTTATTTGCTGCTAGGATATCGTTACAAGATTTTCCTGGGTTTAACTTTGAACCATAAACTGACTTGGCTGAAATAAAATAGAAAAGAAATAGCTAAATATATAGCACACGAGCGACGATAGGTCAATACTCGTAATTAATTGTCATGTCAATTCTTTATGCAAACAACAACCTCTGTAACATTTAAACTAAAGTCTTGAGAATTTTATTTATATTGCTCATAACTTAAAGTGGCTCGATATAGTAATCACAAAAACCCTGCTCAAGAATCGCAAACTCAAAACCGGGTGACCATTTTTATGCGTAGGTCGCGGAAACTGATTAACAAAATGAAAGAACTTCCAAAATGACCTGACGTGAGCAGTTGCTCGCGCCATATCACGCCATTGCGCGTGTTTTATAGCGTTTTATATCAATTGCTGACGTCACATTTCCATTTTAGAAAAACAAGGCGCTGTATCTCTTTATTTTGTCTGGTGACCTATGTACAAATTTTGCATGCTGTATTGCACCGCTAAAAACTTTCATTTTACAAAAAATAAAAAAATTCTGTAATGCCAAAAAAATTTTACCGAAGAATGTGACATTTTTGCATTTTCCAAAAAAATGACATTACCGAATTTTTTTATATTTTGCTAATTGTTAGCTTTTCGTCCAAGTAAAATAATGCACGAAAAAAAATTGGGGGTCACCATGCCTCTTTTCCAACTATACGAGACGAAAGGCCATTTTGGAGTGAATTTCGTACACGTACGTCGTCATAGCAACGAACTATCTGTTACTAAAACTAATATAATTTGAAAGTAGAGTTATCAAAATACATAAAAACCCCAATATCTGCTGAATAAATCCTAAAAATGCGTAGTTTGAACATGTCAAAGTGTTGAACACCTGAATTTTTGAAAACTGTATCGAGCCACCTAGTATTTACATTCAAAGAAATCTAGAGCTATAGCAATATTTATGCAATTTAATACTCTTGTGGTCTTTTATTTATAGACCCACTCACCCACAGCTTAACTTCTCAACAAGCTAGGCACATTGGCACAATTTGACAGCTTAGCCCATTACTGTAAGTTGCACTGCACCCTACTGGGGGCTATGGTGGCGTGCTGATTGCACCATCGACTTTGGTAGTGCAATTGTCAGTGCAAGGACTTTTTATCTATGAGATTGTGGGTTCAATTCTCACCACTTCCAATGACACTTATGTAAAAAGAGTCAGTCAATACTCTGCCAAAGGTTGTGGGTTTTCTCCGGGAACTCCAAATAAAGTATAAAGGCATTTGATCAGCAAATCTCTTTGGCTGGGACTCAACATGGGCTTTTGATTCTGGTGTTAAATTATTAAAGGATGCTTCCTTGGTTGAAATTATTCTTTCTCCTTTTGTGGGGAGCTTAAAAATTATTTTAAAATATGAAAACTATTTCTTGTAATCATCTTGACCAAGATTACAATGATGCACACATTCAACAGAGAATATTGAAATCTCAAGGCAAACCAATACAAACACTCACCTCTAACACTCATTTCTTGATAATTCCTTGATAATTCCTTCAGCGATTGTTCTAGGTCATCCATAAGCACATATAAATATAATATTCAGCACCAAAAACGCCAAAAATGATTGAAAACTGAAAAGGCACGATACGAGTAAAAAGCTGAATGGTTCGATTCTTCGGATATCGTATTTCTGAAGAATCATCCACTAGCCAACGGCGCGGAACGCCGTTCCAGCCTTGGATCAACACCTTGTCAAACGGCATTCTATTTCTATGGTCAAATACAAAAAATCCGCGATCAAAGCTTAACACACAACGGTCACATTATAAAACGTTTGTAACAAGGGACTCGTAGTCATTCTTCCATTATATTGAAAAGCGCCATTCCTTAATTCAGCCGGATGGACGGACGCACAAGGACCAAGTTACACGTGGTTACTGTTTCATTTTTAAAGTTCGTCCAATTTTATCAACCTTCTAAGCGTTTTAAAAGAAAGCCAGAAAGTAGTAATAACATTTTGTCGTATTAATATCTGTAAGCCATAAGGCATGATCATTTTTAATAACAGCTAGTTAGTACACCATAATCAGCCGGGGGCAGTTTTAGTGTAAACTATTTCTAGTGAATACTTCATGTTGAAACAATGGTTGGAAAATATAGCATTATAGGCGAGGGGTTGTTGCTACATTTCTAGTATTTACATATTCTGCCAGGCGCTGCAGAACCCCGTCCTGTCCTCCCCAAGCACCCCCGCTCATCTTAGCTACTGATCTATATAAAAACACTGTAGTGTTGCTATTTTTAGTACGTTATTTGCGCCTGGGTACGAGGCTGGACCTCTGCGAAATACCTGACCAACCGTGACGGCTCGTGAGTTTTGCGCGCGTGGGCGCGAAATACATGACGCTCGCTAAATACATAACAAGGTCGTAAACATCTTTTTAAGGTTTATATGATATTTTATCTTTGACTATATCGCATCTACCTCTGAAACTGGATTCAGTTTAATATCTTTGAGATCTGTCATGAAATTAAGAATGACAGCGGTTACTATAAACATAATGTCTTAATGATTTAATTACTCTCTTGCAAGCAGTTTGTAAACTAGATACAAAAACTGAATTAACGTCACGAGTCTAGATTTGACTTATCAATAAGAAAATGGATAAAAGGAAAAACTATTTATACAACGTTTCAATACCTATATAAACTATACATTAAAGTTATTTAAATATCCGAAAAAAACTATCTATACGAGAAGTTAATAGCATGTAAATGTGAAAAAGTCACCACATAACTTTGTTCGTAAGTACGATTTGTCATTAAAATCAAAGTTTCATTACTGTCGTTTCGCAAGTTATATAGTCCACCAACGTCCCCAGCGTCTTCTCTGGGGAGGAGGTTGGTTATAATCATGTTCTCTACCACATGCATGGATGAGGTAATAATGTATTAATTTAATAGGTGATTTGGAGTTTTAATTTTGTCCATATGGCATATATTGTTTACACAATTTTGCTCGTCTTGTCTGTAGTTTTTCCATGTTGAATAGTTTTAAAAGTTCATCATAGTTTTCTTCTCCAGACTTAATAATTTTAAAGGCTCTTTTTTGGACCGATTCAATTTATGTGAGATATTCAGGTATAACCTGCCAGAACTGGTATACCGTATATTCTAGTATAATTGGTCTTATGGTTGCAAAATATTTATTTATTTAAGAATATTTACAGAGGATAAGCATTTCAGTAATACTACTGTTATCAACACGCGTCCTCTTTATACTAACAATCTAAAAATCCTTAGAATAATACAAATTAAACCTACATAACACCAGTTCAATTAAAAACTACACATCTATCTAAAACTAACTAAAATGTTTGACCAACGCACGGTTAAAGGAATTAACGTCTTCAACGTTCCTTGCTTCAATTGGGAGCTCGTTACATATTTTAGCACCCGCAAATCGAAAGGCTTGCCTATAGACCTTTAAGACCTTTTATGTAGTAACGCACTGAATATAATCTTTTACATGCTTCTCCGATATGTAAGCAACATGTTCAATCCATTTTAGATCGTCTGTTAAAACAACTCCAAGAAGTTTAGATTTCTTTACCTTTTCAATAGTATTATTACCTATACTCTATAGTTATGGTGGCCGGACATTTTGCCGAAAGACACTTTGCCGAAAGACACTTTGCCGAACGGACGTTTTACCGAACGGACGTTTTGCCGAACGGACATTTTGCCGAACACATTCTGCAGTTTAACGAACGGACAACTTGCCGAAAATAGATATATCTTCTGAACTTTAAAGGTTCGCTTACATGGTCAAAGTTTCTGTGATTAAAGTCATTGTCGATTTTGATGACAGAAATTTTGATAGTGAAGTATAGTTTCGTTTTATATTCTTTCAAGTTTTTGACAAGTTTACCGAAATTTCGCGATATAAAGAATAACATCATTAGGGTTGAGTTTCATACATGGTTGTTTTCGGCAAAATCGTTAATGTTGTCTGCTATTGTATTAGTCAGACTGATCGAGATCCTTGGGGTTATTTCTAGAGCTGTGGTGTCATCTACAAATTTCGTACTTAACCTCCAGTCGATAAGGTACTTACAGAGAACAATATTACACCCAGTTTTGTTCCTTGCAGAATTCCGCCATATTCGGATATTTCCAGACAGTACTCCGGCAATTGGGACTGCTTGCATTCTGTTAGAAAGAAATGCTGATACCCAATTCATAAGAGCAGGAAATATATTAAGTTTTTGAAGGTTACCCATGAGTATATTATGGCCTATATATGTGATCAAAACCCTTGGAGAAATCAGTACAGAAGGTCCGGGCAATATTATCTCCGTTGCCAATTGCCTCAAAAATGGGCTGAAGGAAGCTTATCAAGGCATCCGCTGTTGACAGACCTTTACGGGCATACTCTGGTATTTATCATTCTTCCCATCTGTGGTAGAACTTGTACAAAACAAACCTCCATCACTTTCGCCAGGGTGCTTCGTAAGCGATATCGGGCGTAGATCGTTTTCAGTTGTTTGCGAGGGGTTTTCGTTTGGTATGGGAGATATAATGGAGCGTCTTAATAGTTGGGGGCATAGCCTTCAATTAATGACTGATTATGTCTTGTATAACTGCGGCTAATTCCGGAGCAAATTTCTTCAACACCTTGTTTGGTAAGTTGTGGTCCTACTGATTTGGACAGTTTGATGCTCTTTAGTGAAAATTGAACCTCTTCTATTGTAGCAAGAAGTTCTGCGGGTACTTGTAATGGTCGAAATTCTCAATACCCGCGTTGACTTTGTTTGCTAGTCCTCGTACATCTTCGTCATCTTTTAGAAATTGATGATACCATTCTTGTTTAATGCCCTGTCCAGTAAGGAATTTAAGGTCTTTCCACCATTTACTATACTTTTACACTGGTCTAGGTTTGCTTATAATAAACATACTACATTTGCTGAACTTTGTTAAAACTAAGGCATAAAAAAACGAATGAAAGTTATGTTTGTCATTCTCATGACAAATCTCTCAGATAAAAGATATACCTGGCATTTCACAATTGAAGTTCAAAATAATGAATGACAATAGTAGAAAACATAAAATAAAAATTCCACTTCTTAGCTTAGCGCCATATTGAATTTAGCGGTCGCGTCGGTAACGCGCGGAGGCCTTATTATTTCCACACAATTTCTCGTTTTCCCAATTTCCAGTCGTGTTGATATAACTATATCAACACGGAAAATGTTTATATTTGTTAAATAGAACACAACTGAAACGATTTAAGAAGTATTCTCTTTTCTTTACTACAGTATTGTAAGATAAAATGAAATAATTTGTTCAGTTTGCCAACTTTGCATGCTTCTATACTATTAATTTTTGACTGGAATATTAATCCATCCCTGAAATACTGATTGTGTTATTTCAAAAGGTTTGAGGAATCTGTTATATGCTCACGTTCATCTCAGAAGTATTGGTCTCCTTAGACTCAATAGTAGCTTTTGGAACATCTTGTTTTGCAGGGACATTGTTGCGAAGTGAGGAACCTTTATCAGAAGTATCAGTAGAAATTGTTAGTTTACTAGTAGGTAGAACAGAAGTAATTTCTTGAGTAGCACTACGATTATTACCCAAAGAATGTGTTTGCTTCGAGCCAACTATTGGGTCAGTTGTATTGATTTTAGCTGAAGTAGACGGCTTGACAGGTACATGCGATGCAACGGTATTGGCAGGTTTGACCTGTATTTTGGAAGGGATAGATAAAGAATTGGCACTATGCGATCGGCTAGTTGTTTCCAGAGCAGTATCTGTTGTACTGGTAGACGAGGTCGCCGGATTTCCAACAGTTGGAGGTAAAGTTTTGGACACAATCTCTGGTTGTTTTTCAGGTTGTATTTTTATCTGAAGGTTGGTTGTTGGGGAACCAGAAAGCTTAAGAGGAAGGTCAGTCGCTGTTGGTGTCTCTTTCTGTTGGGCATTAAGTGCAGTGCTCGAGTCTTGTTGTTTCTTTGGTGTTGCTTGTGGTGCGGCTGAGACTTTTAGATCTTCTGCAGGTTTCTGCGCCTTTTGGGCAGCAACAGCTTCGGCCTTAGCGATTTCTGATAGCCTAGCTTCGTGCGCAGCCTGAGCTAATGCAGCTTTTCGTTTGTCTTCTCTCTCTTTTTCCTTAATTCTGGAAAGAAACAGCGGAACTGCATGAAAAATGTTACACTTAAAGTTTACTGTATCTTATATTGCAGTTACCTCAGAATATTTATATTCGTCGAAACAGAAACTTAATGGCACTACTTCTTACTTCAACCACAAGTATATAATGAACCACAATACAATTTTTTTGAAAAAATAAGAGGTCAATTCCTGCTATTAAAGAGTCAAATATTGAAACAAATTCGACGTAAAATATTGAGCTGGGATATTTGAATAAGTACAGTGTATATAACCCAGCAGGTAACAATCAATAGATGAACTAGAAAAGGCTATAAAACGTACGCGGAAGTAATGGACATCATGGGGTGCGGTAGAACAAGGGCGTTGAAACGGCTATATTATGCCCCAAATATATGTGCATGTGATGGTGGTGAGGTCTCCACCACATATTTTGACTATTGCATGTTCGAGTTTATGCCGGCTTGTTTAGCCTTCTTAATAATAAAAACAAGCAAAAATGCTTTTCGATTCTGTATTATTACAATAGAAAGGCTTTTGTCAAGAAATGTTAACAGTAGAAATTGGTACGTCGTAGTTTACATAGAAGCCCGTACTTTTGCTGAGAATTTGAATGTTTTTGCCACCAAAATGCGGCAAGTTTCGAGGTGACGGTCCGTTTTTCTGCAAAACTATACAGGAGATGCGCGCATGCTTCGACTATTTTTCCCTCGTCATAAAAAGAGTAAACTGAAAGACCACACGGCATCAGGTATTTCAGGTATGTCAAAACAGAAGTGAATATTTTGACTGAACATTTTGCCATAGTGAGCACAGAAGAATCCAATAGGTTATACAACTAATATTATCATTAATGGTACTATTTCCTCGTATTCTTATTGGTTGAAAGCCTACAAGTAATTTCCGTATCTCGGTGCAGACATGAACATGACAAATAAATCTCGTATCTGCATGTGAACATGACAAATGACAGGGTTTTTTCAGGATTTTCTCTTGGGTCCGTTTTTGTAGAGGGGGACTGACACTTGTACTCAATAAATGCAGTTGAGACGGAATGTGTTAAAGCAGGGGCACTGAGGGACACTATAAACTGGTTAAAGATGGCGAATGCATAGTTTTTCTTGTGTTGTGAGATGAATTCCAGCCATTTTTTCTTAATTGTCGGGTTTCCAACTGAAAACTAATTTCCAAATGTCACGAATTTAACTCAAACAACTTCATTTTTAGTGCAATGAAACTTTGGTGAGAAGATTGAGTTTTAATACTCAATTCAAGATTGAGTTTTGGGGGCCGTTTAACGGCCCTAAAAAATCCCTGAAAAAAACCCTGAATAAGTATAAGCGTATTTCTCACTTACATTTGACGTTGTTGGGCGTGTTCAAGTTCTTGTTCCAAATCACCAACGGATACATCATTACTGTGAGGCAGGTGAAGTAAACATTTTTCATGGTTTGAAACATTTGGGATAGACACACCACAACTTTGATCTGCACCAATCATTTGTGAACATGGTAAAAATAACTGCTGGTTTGGGTCGTGACAAATATCTTGTCAAGTGTTAAGAATCTTAAATGTTTGCACATGGGTAAACTGAAGGTATGGGGATAAACGGAAGATTTTCCAAAAAAACTTTCCATCATGCAAAATTTATTTGAACTGTTCATCTCGATTAAATGATGTGCAATGCACACTTTCTTCGAAATTAGACATATTTTGTATTAAATGGAATCATCATCTGCATGGCAAAGAAATCTAATTCCAATTAATAAGTTCTTTGTACGTTTGCATGGCGATAAAACATATAATAGTTGTTGTGGAAACACCACGTAAATTTATTACTGCATGCAAAGCTTTCGATCCGTAAGCCCGGATCTTCATCAGTGCTAATAATATATGAAAGCTTTGCAGTAATAAATTTACGTGGTGTTTCCACAAACAAAACTAATTCCAATTGCTTTAAAGACTGCATGCAGATGACCATAGACAGATACTGTATTCATGACCTTTACATCTGCCAAAAAGAGACGCCAAAAAAAGTGAACATAACAACTAGAGTGCGATAAACACCGCAGAAAAACGTCGGCACATGCGTCAATTTCACCAAAATTTGTCTTGTAATCGTTCACCATCAACACGCAGGCTAGGTGTTTATATAAACACACAATAACTATTAAGGCGTCGCTTCGCTATTTCCCTTCTAATTATCGGCCTCAATAATAAAAGGTTAATTAAAAATAGTTTATATTTCTCACCATCATGTATCAAGTACTTCTGGTCGACATTAGTTACAAACTCAAACAGGGGCCCCAAAGCAACGAAGCACTTAGCCTTCAAAATTTCTTGATACAAGCTTCATTGCCCGAGAATATAAATCCTAGCTGCGTCAGTGCCGGATAATATGTAATAAAGCGAAAATACACCGCGTCTCGATCCCGTTTATGACGTCAAAGAGCTTCCTGAAAAGTTTAATGACGTCATAGGAAGGTTTGGCCCCGGGAAACCTCTCGGCGACCCTGTTTGCTGCTCAAAATTTCGAACAATAAAGCAAAATGCATGCTTGGGCGCAACGTTTAACGCAGGCCAAACCCTCTCGTTATAACTATATTTGCTACCTAAAATCATATACATATCACTAAAACTGATTAGGATACGTTTCAAACAAAATTTTGCCAAAGGAACAATCTTTGATGTACAGCGATTTCCATCGGTATATTGAGTACAACGCTGTTGGGGTAAGGTTTGATTCCGTGTTGCTGTTCCCAAACGTTTTTCTTTACTTTGCTTTTGTAAGAGTGCATCGTTCCTGTATCGCTTGTTATAACCTCTGCTAGCAATGTGCAATGCTGAAACAGGTTCGTTTGGTTTTGGTCTGTTTGCACTAACTGTTAAAAATAAGTTTAAAAATGCATTGAGATATATATATATATATATATATATATATATATATATATATATATATATATATATATATATATATATATATATATATATATATATATATATATATATATATATATATATATATATATATATAAATCATTCAATGATACATCAGAGCTCATATAACAACTTTTTATTACGTTTCGGGGCAAGCCCCTTCTTCAGATTACATGTGTACACTTGATTTCAACTATTTAAACTGTCCATATCCTAATTATAATAATTCGCTTGATTAGCTCTATTGTTCAAACAAATTCTTTTAAATTCAACCCATACGGTTCAATCGAATTCAGTTTATAAGCCCAAAATCCTTCTCTTTGTGTGGGACATGCAACATTAGTTTTATCAATATATGTATATATATATATATATATATATATATATATATATATATATATATATATATATATATATATATATATATCACAAGTTTTGTAACGTATAGTGAAGAGACTGCTCAATACATAAAATTTTGTAGAGCGAATGTAATTACTACTCTTACTTAAAATGTTTTTTTTGTCTCTACTCCGAGTTTCACGCATCACTGCGATCATCAGGAGACATTGTTCTCAAATACCGTTTGATTTTCGTTGTTTGATGGCGTGACTGCGCGCGCGCGCGAGGATTGTTGATGTTGTTTACACGCGCGCAGACTACATTTCCCGCTAAAAAGTGTTTCTGGTGCACGCACTTCGAGAAGATTTCCGATCTTTTGTTGCGTAGATTTTTGTCGCGAGATTTTAAAATCAGCAGCTTCTCTTGCAAGCATAGGTTGCATCTTGGTCTTCCGCTTGTGTATGGGACAGCCTTCTTCAGAATGGACCAAGTGGTGTTGTAAGGTCTTCCGCTTCTCTTCAATTTCCAAATATGCTTCGATAGCTCCGTTTCGTTCGCATATCTCTGAAGCTGGAATGATTTTTTATGGTTTCTGTACCTGTCTTTGAATTCCCCAGCTGTTACCCCAATATACCGCTTCATTTCACCGTTGTCGTCACTCTTTACTTCGGCTTGGTACACGATAGCCTGGGTCAGACATTTCTTCTGGAGGGGGCATTCATCTTTCTTGCGGCAGTTACAGTTAATTTCTTCTGTTGCCGTGGGTTCGGTCGATCTAATTCTCGTGTTGTGGTTAGAAATGGTTGTCTTGACATTCTTCATGCAGCTGTAGCTAATTTTGATTGAATTGCGGTTAAATATCTTATGTAGACGACTTGATTTAGGGAAATGTTTGTCGATAAGTTGAAGAAAGGTTTTACCAATGTTTGTTACTACGTTTTTGCTGTAAGGTGGGTTAAACCATAGTATGTTTCTGTGTCTTTTGCGTTTGGGTTGGCTGGACGTACAACTCTCAGTGTTGGGGTCGTCAATATTACTTGAAGGCGTGGCATTGTATTGTAAATTAAAATCATAATTACTACGACGTAATGCATTCTCGTAGGTTGGTGCTGATGAATTGAAGGTTTGCTGATAAGAGGATAAATTTGATATACGGTGATTTATTGATTTAGGTAGTTGTTTAATTATGGCTGGTGGGTGGTTCGAGCGACTGTCAATGTAAATGGGTTCATTATTGGGTTTTCTATATGGTTGGTAGCGTTCCTCTGCAAGGTTGAATGTGACGTCTAGAAAGTTGACAGATTGGTGGTTTACTTGGGCCGTAATTTTCAAATTGAACTGTTCGAATAATGTATGCAACTTTTTCCGTACCTTATCAGCAATGCGCCCGCTCTTTTCTTTGATTAAAACAAGTCCGTCATCCCGATACAAACCAACACGTTCTTTCCCAAACTCATTGGTAAGGACATTTAAACTTATGGTCGAAAGGTTAAGGTTTCGAGAAGTGAACGACCCATTCCTTACAAAAATTAACAGCGACCTAAAAAAGGTAAATTCTTCAACTAACATGTATATATTCGCTGATAAAACAAGAAACCTTTACGAAACAACGCCCGATCAATACGATAAGATATTGAAAGATAACATTACCAAATCTTATAAACTCGGTGAAACGAACATGTTAAATAACTTGAACGAAGATCTTAGAGACATTGCTATAGATCTTTCAATCGATAACCGTATTGAAACAATGGCAAAACGAGAAGCGTTTGTAAAAGCAAAGGACCACAAGGAAAATTTTGAGGACAACCCGAAGTTTCGATTAATAATCCCCGCAAAAAGTGAACTTGGCAAAGTTAGCAAAATTATTCTTGATGAAATCAATAACAATATCAGGGAACAAACAGGCGTCAACCAATGGAGAAATTCCCAATCAGTGATCGACTGGTTCAAAACCATTAACGATAAACCTAACCACATCTTTATTTCTTTTGACATCGCGGAATTCTATCCATCTATCACGGAAGAATTGCTGGATAAAGCCATATTCTGGGCTCGGACTATCACACCAATCACTGATCAAGAAGAAAAGATTATCAAACACGCACGTACCTCATTTCTGTTCAGCAACAACGATACATGGATTAAGCAAAACTCTAAATCTCTTTTTGATGTAACGATGGGCAGTTATGACGGCGCTGAAATATGTGATCTTGTCGGATTATATATGCTAAATGTCCTTACCAATGAGTTTGGGAAAGAACGTGTTGGTTTGTATCGGGATGACGGACTTGTTTTAATCAAAGGAAAGAGCGGGCGCATTGCTGATAAGGTACGGAAAAAGTTGCATACATTATTCGAACAGTTCAACTTGAAGATCACGGCCCAAGTAAACCACCAATCTGTCAACTTTCTAGACGTCACATTCAACCTTGCAGAGGAACGCTACCAACCATATAGAAAACCCAATAATGAACCCATTTACATTGACAGTCGCTCGAACCACCCACCAGCCATAATTAAACAACTACCTAAATCAATAAATCACCGTATATCAAATTTATCCTCTGATCAGCAAACCTTCAATTCATCAGCACCAACCTACGAGAATGCATTACGTCGTAGTAATTATGATTTTAATTTACAATACAATACCACGCCTTCAAGTAATATTGACGACCCCAACACTGAGAGTTGTACGTCCAGCCAGCCGAAACGCAAAAGACACAGAAACATACTGTGGTTTAACCCCCCTTACAGCAAAAACGTAGTAACAAACATTGGTAAAACCTTTCTTCAACTTATCGACAAACATTTCCCTAAATCAAGTCGTCTACATAAGGTCTTTAACCGCAATTCAACCAAAATTAGTTACAGCTGCATGAAGAATGTCAAAACAACCATTTCTAACCACAACACGAGAACTAGATCGACCGAACCCACGGCAACAGACGAAATTAACTGTAACTGCCGCAGGAAAGATGAATGCCCCCTCCAAAAGAAATGTCTGACCCAAGCTATCGTGTACCAAGCCGAGGTAAAGAGTCATGACAACGGTGAAACGAAGCGGTATATTGGGGTAACAGCTGGGGAATTCAAAGACAGGTACAGAAACCATAAAAAATCATTCGAGCTTCAGAGATACGCGAACGAAACGGAGCTATCGAAGCATATTTGGAAATTGAAGAGAAGCGGAAGACCTTACAACCCCACTTGGTCCATTCTGAAGAAGGCTGTCCCATACACAAGCGGAAGACCAAGATGCAACCTATGCTTGCAAGAGAAGCTGCTGATTTTAAAATCTCGCGACAAAAATCTACTCAACAAACGATCGGAAATCTTCTCGAAGTGCGTGCATCAGAAACAATTTTTAGCGGGAAATGTAGTCTGCGCGCGTGTAAGCAACATCAACAATCCTCGCGCGCGCGCGCAGTCACGCCATCAAACAACGAAAATCAAACGGTATTTGAGAACAATGTCTCCTGATGATCGCAGTGATGCGTGAAACTCGGAGTAGAGACAAAAAAAACATTTTAAGTAAGAATAGTAATTATATATATATATATATATATATATATATATATATATATATATATATATATATATATATATATATATATATATATATATATATATATATATATATATATATATATATATATATAATTTCGCTTACCTCAAAATTCCGCAACAGTCTGTTTCATCAGTAAAGAATCTTCAGGCAGTATGACCTATATATCGCAGTTTGAGCGCTCTGGCATGGTTTTGATGTCCCACAATCGAGAGGCATCAAAGGTAACTGTAAAATAGCAGTTACTTTCATCCTGCTTATCAGCACTACACTGATGAGGCCCATAAGGCCGAAACGGTACCGTCTATAAATATATATATATATATATATATATATATATATATATATATATATATATATATATATATATATATATATATATATATATATATATATATATGTATATATATTTATTATATACATGACAAAATTACTGCAATCTGATTGGTTAAGAGGAGTGCAATTATTTCATTAATTGCACTCTCCAGGAGTGCAATTAATGATTTTCGTGATGGCTGGGGGGAGCGGGAAATCAAAACAACAAAATCCAATATGGCGGCGAAATTTAGCTAATTATTTCTAACAAATGTGGACGAATTTAACTGAATTTTGGCACAAGAATGAGTTTAAGAAACATTGTATGGCAAAAAGAGCCTGTGGAAAATACCTGGAAACATTTTTAAGAAATAATCTTGGCGGAATACAGCGAAACGTGACTATATAAGTTTGAATTACTTTGAAATACAATTTATAAAGATTTTCTTAAACTAAAATATGTTGTTTGAATTTGAATCTTGTGTTCTAGTTTAAGTTATGTGCCTTTGTGAGTTTATAATCATTTTCCAAGTTTGTTTATACTAAATTGCTTACAAAGGAATTAAAAACTCTTGACAAAATGCAGTTGAAATATAAAGAAAGCGATTTTGTCATGCATATAATAAATA